CAACTCTCAATTCGTGTGCGTGTTCTGACCTATTCGTGCGTCACCCCTAGCGCAAAATACACTCACCAAGGCTTTGTTGTAAACAAGAGGACAACTAGCATTCCTATGGTTCAGCGTCGCCTATGTTGTGCAGACAACTGCAATAAAGTGCTTAAGATCAGTATTACCTGTTCCAGCTGCATTAAATCGTACTGCCCGCAATGTGCAGGCAAAACTGTCCAAGAAGTGAGACAGACAAACCAAGTTGCTGACACAATTTGGTTTTGCCCATCATGTCAGGTGATTCCAGTTGTCAACTGTTTATCACTGCTAATGAAAAAATGCGATAGGATGACTGAAATAATCGCGCAATTTGTAAATACTAAGGTTGCTCCCTCGGAGGTAAATATGGCCACGATAATACCTCACCCGGTCAAAGTTAGTTCTGCGTCTAAACCGAAGAAAAGAGCTAGACGATCCAACCGCACTGCAGCGTCTGTGACTCTAAACCCACTGGGTCACCTCACTCCCATCAGTGGGCAAGCCTCAATCATGCCTGCGTCCACTTCTCCAACCATAGACGCTTCACTTGGAGATTCAGCCATGACACCGATAGCTCACAGCCGAAGGAAATCCGGTGCAGATAACAAGCAGGTTACGTACGCATCGATTGCATCGACAAACACACCGGGAGCGACACACACAAGTTCATCTTCAGTACCGAGCACGCCTGGCGCAAAGCAGCTGTCACTGTCAACTCCAGTGGTGCCCTCTAAACAACCTGAATTGCCGGCAAAAAGTATAAAGCCAACACTCGCTAGACAAAACCACGCTGCGCTAACTCTCGTGTGCACCAATGTTCCCGAATCCAAATCTGGAACAATAAAAGGCAAGTTGCAAGACGATCGCAACCAGTGGAGTTCCATCTGCGAGGCGATTGGCATTCGGGTTGAGCCAGCAATACTGCAACGCGTAGCACGTCACCCGACCTCAGTGCACTCTGGTGAACCTCGAATTCTTCGAGTAACACTAAACTCAGCAGATGAGACAGAGGCTGTCCTGCTCTCAGCAGTTCGTCTTCGCAACTCACCGAGCGGAGTGCGCATATTACCTGATCTACCTTGGAAAGACCGCGCAAAAGAAGCAGTGGAGCAACGCGGTATTGCTACTAGGGATAGCAAGAAAACAATATTTGTTCATGGTGTTCCCGAGCTCCTGCATGCTTTTGATCACGATGCACAAACACATGATCGAGAGCAGTGGTGCTACATCCGCGAAGCACTCTCTGTAGACAATGTTATTGCCAAATCCCTAACAAGAGTTCCGTTATCACCTAACTACAAGGGCTGCGGTCCAAGGCTAATGAAGGTAATACTACACTCCGAAGGAATGACTCAAGTTCTGTTGGATAGCTGGCTAAAGTTTCGAGCTAGGTTGCCAACAGAAATACGGCTAAAGGCAGCAGGCGAACGACCAAAAGTCGGAAGAAATTCGATGGAACTTGCAAACGCTGCAAATTCTTTATTTGCACAGTCCTTCGGAGAGACCGACACAACAGCGCCCACGTCACACAGGAGGACCGAGCACAGCACGAGTGAACCATCAGTTCAGGAACGCTCAATAATGTCATGTAACACGACTGAAATATACAAACCAAAAAACGATTAATTGCCGGCCACCTAACGGCCGGCTTAAAAGCGAACACAAACTTGACATCCACCAATGAACTCCTAACCACAAAAGCCCTATCTTGCATGTATACAAACGCTCAAGGCCTTCGAAGCAAGTTGGCCGAACTTAGAGAACTCCATGCCTCACAACCGCGGGACCTCGTCATGATTACAGAGACATGGTTAAACCCTGAGATAACCGACTGTGAGATCAAGTTACCCGGTATGTCGCTGCTTCGGACCGATAGAACCGGAATGGGTGGCGGTGTGATTCTTTACTATAATACAAGCCTCCGATGTGAAGTTATCGATCACCCGGAAATCCGAGCTCCCGATTCGCTTTGGTGCCGCCTTTGGTTGCGAAACAAGGACACATGTCTACTAGCCGTGGTTTATCGCCCGCCAAACTCAACGTCGGAAATGGACTCCAAACTGTACCACGTTTTTCAGTTTGCTTTGAACAAGTCCTACACCCACATTCTTATCGCGGGAGACTTTAACGTGCACGACATAGAAACGCCGGCAACTGACGGTACGCAGTTTAAAGCCTGTTTGCAAGAACTTATTGCTAGCCACCCTCTTTACAACCACGTAACCTCTCCCACCAGATTTCGAACTTCTAACAAGCCGTCGATACTGGATCTTGTGCTAACTAACGAAGAACTCATGGTTGGCGGGATAGTTACAAGCACACCACTGGGTCGTAGTGATCATGTCACTCTACTCTTTGATTATATATGCTATGCCGAGTACCCGGAAAAGGAGGAGGATAAAGTGCACACTGTCACGCACTACAATGTGTTGTCCAAGCTTGTTAAGGATACATCTTGGACTTTCTTAATCGAATGCCCCCCAGATCTGGCCTGGGATATGTTTACAAGGACTTTGAGCACACTGGTAGCGCAAGCATCGGAACAGAAGTCCTTCCAACCCAAAAACCAGAGTAAGTCATTTCTGAGGAGCAGAACACGTAAATGTATGTCCCGGAGGGATTTGGCATGGCGAAGTCACCAGGGTTGCCCGAATGCCGAAACCTGGACTGCATACGTGACCCATCGTAACTTCTGTGTGAAACTGATCCGCGAAGACAAGGTCACGCATCAGCAGAAGTTAATGAAGCGATTCTGCACTAACCACAAACTCCTGTACAGGCACATTAACGGCCTTCGAAAGGTAAAGCGAGGGGTTCCGGCGCTAGTCACGGCTGATGGATACACGCGGTCAGCAATGGAAGCAGCTGATCTCCTACGGCTTCATTACTCCCAAACGTTCCAACAAGTGTCGAGCCCGAACATTCACCTCATTTCTAATACTCCACCACCCGGTTTAGAAAACATCACCTTCACTACGGAGGCTGTGTTGAAGAAGTTGTTATCCTTGCGTATCCACAGTTCTCCCGGAGCTGATAACATCCGACCAAAGGCTCTACAGGCAGTAGCTAGTGATCTAGCAGAACCACTGGCTGTTTTCTATCAGCGATGTCTAGAGGAAAACCTTATTCCACCAGTATGGAAGCAAGGGGTCATCACTCCTATCCATAAAGGAGGTAGCCGCACTGATCCTGCGAACTACCGTCCAATAACACTACTTCCCGTACTATCCAAAGTGATGGAATCAATCGTCGCAGACGCGCTGATGCAATACTTGGAAAGCCACAATTTAATAGCCCCAGAGCAACATGGCTTTCGTCAAAAGCATTCGTGTAATACTAACCTATTAATTGCACGTAATAGCTGGACTGAAGCTGTTGATGATGGAGTTGGAGTCGATGTCATCTACCTGGACTTTTCAAAAGCGTTTGATCGTTTAGACCATCGAGTTCTCCTTCAGAAGCTTCGGAACTACGGCATTGGCGATCCAATCCTGAGTTGGATTAGCAATTTTCTACAAGAACGACGGCTAGTGGTGAGAGTCCGAGAATCATTTTCTCATGCAATCGACGTGACGTGTGGAGTACCACAAGGCTCGGTTCTTGGACCTCGTCTATTCTTGGTGTTCATTAACGATTTGGCGAGATCAATTACTTCCGATTTCTTATTTTTCGCTGATGATATCAAGATATGGCGAAGGATCAGAGGACCGGATGACCATGAACGGCTCCAGTGCGATCTTAACACAGTGTCGAACTGGTCAGTTCAAAACGCTCTACCGTTCAACGTAGACAAATGTCGCGTAGTACAATTACGCCATAGACATAACTACACCTACATACTTGGGACAAACGAATTGCAGAATAGCTCCCAGGAACGTGATCTTGGTGTGATCGTACAGAGCGACCTCAACTGTTCAAAACAGGCTGAGGTAGCTGCCAAAAGAGGCAACCAGCACGTCGGCATGCTGCGAAGGGCATTCGGGAGATTTGACCCATCAATCTTCCCAATGATGCTCAATTCCTACGTGCGCCCGCATATTGAGTACGCAATCCAAGCTTGGCAACCTTGGTTGAAACGCGACCTAGAAGCGATAGAGGCACCACAACGGAGAGCAACAAAGAACGTGAAGGGCCTGCGGTGTCACTCTTACCACCGAAGGCTGAAGTTGCTGGGAATTTTCAGCGGACGTTATCGAAGGCTGCGCGGCGATCTCATATTAGCGTATCAGATATTGAGTGACCCCAACCACGTATGCCGCCATTTGCTGAAACTTAGCCACAACACGCAGCTCAGGGGTAACTGCTTAAAGTTGAAGGAACAATATAGCCGTCTAGAGTGTCGACGGAATTACTTTTCCCTTCGGGTTTGCAAACCATGGAACGCACTCCCAGACTCAGTTGTATCCTCTCCTACCCTGGATGTTTTCAAAAAACGATTAGATGTTGCTCTCAGCTCCCAACATTTTGTTACCTAAGCTCCTCTGTTGTGGATTACGCCAAGCATGTTTTCAACAGGACTAATGTATCAAATGGACCTAAGTGAGCGACCATATTTCATTTTCTCACTCCTTACCTCAACTATCACTGCGCCCCAGTGTCTTTCTGAATGTTTACGCGCGATATTTCTTTTTCATTTTACACTGATGTTAATTATCAAAGTATTCATCTCGGCAGACGTTCGATAGATGACCCAGACATATTTTAATTGCATCATATTCACCGCTACCATCCTACGGGACGTGTCAAGCACTTGCTTTTATCCCGTGATAAATCATTGTTCATTGTAAGTGACTTCACCAGACCTCATTATCGTCCACTATGGTAGGGCTTTAAGTCTGCTGCTTAGTCAGCACATCTATTTACAACCGTATATCTTTTGGTCATGGTTATTTCTACATGCCGAAATTCAATCTGAGTTTCTACTAAGAAAAGTTGGCGGTCGGAATCGGTGGAAATACTACGAATGGAGTGGTGCGCACCTGCTGGTAGTTCTCCATGTCCCAACAGATCTTCGCTTGCTGCATTAGAACAGGAATATAGCGCTCCAGCGCTGCATCATACTCACACACCACACGCTTCACTGCTTCGTCATCCCGGGCCTGCCTGGCTTCTTGCACGGCTTTAGTCAGGCGTCGGAGCTGCTCAGTGTGCTTCGCTGCCATCTGATCGAACCGGCTGAAAGATAATTGAACTACTAATATAAAATAAAAGTAGTAGAAACAAAAGCAAAAATGCAATGTAGACCATGTTGAGCATGACATAAACGTGGATTCCTGACTTACCGAAACTTTTGGTTTAGTTACAACGTTGACACTTTCACCGTTAGATTAATTATACTAGTTAGCACAGGCCAAAAGGCTAGGTTTGACTAATTACTTTAGTGTACACTTGATCGTTGCTCATTCTTCACGGGATGATACCACAGTTGGGACAAGGACGTCCGTGCTGACGCATTCAGTACACGTTTCACTGTGCAAGATAGAACAGAGACCCTTAACCAAATCTGTATTCACCATCCGGGACTCATGGAAACCAATGCCTGGGTGTTCTGGTCTCCTATGGAAACCAGAAGTGATCTGTTATTTATTAGCGAAGATGATGCAACCAGGTTCATTTAGCCCATTTGGTGGAAACCCTGTAGAATCCCAGTCCTAAAGTGGGACGACAAGCGCTGAAGACGGGTTGAAATGGTGACTAAAATCAAGGCTATCATTGGATAGGTATAAGTTAACAAAGAAATCACGCTTGATTGTCGTAACAATAAGGAAAGGGGCGTAACTTTTGGCAGCAATTGGCCAGGCGCAATAAATCAGAAGGACGGCTCAGTAGAATAGGTAATGAATAGTTAGGCAGGTGATATCTGGTTTGCAGTTCGAAACAATGCACAACTAGAACATTCCTCATGGAGTTTGTGTTGGCCACCAATCAAAACTTACGCTATTGCAATCTAGTATCCAGTGTTGTTACTTTTTACTTATTACAGAAACTGCACCGTAAGAGAATGCTGACTGCGACAAACCCGTAGCATTAAGCTGCTCGTCCTCATGGCACAGCGTATGAGAAAAATCGGGTTGTAAAATCATGTACACTTCGAAACTGGAAATTGCATAGCATCTCGACGAGTTGGGGAGGTACATTTTTAGGGATGTCACTAAACACCTTCCCAGTGTAGGTGGAAAGTGGGTGTTGCCCGCTCGAAAAGACCGCACTCCACCACCTTTCGACCCCAGTGAATCATTGGGATACAAGCTGAAATTGGCAGCTCAGGTTGTTCTAGTGTCAGTCAAACTGTTCGCTGAGTCTGGTAAGTTTGTTTAACTCGTGGCGACATCAATGCGTTGTTCAGTAGTGAGTAGCAAGTAGCGTAACTACTCCTAAGCCACCGGGTCCCTGCATTCAGCGCTCGGCGCAACCATTCATGAATTACTCGTTGTGTGTTTGGATTGCGATGCGCAATCTCAATATGGACAGTGATTCGCTTTGAAGTGAATCTTGGTCAATCCGATCACTAGGATTGTAGCTGAAGCAGATGGAAGTAAGATGTTGTCTGCCCGAAAACACTGCACACCACGCCGTTTCGACCTTATTTGCTCTCAGTTTAGCTAGTGTGATGGCATGAATAACCAACTGATCACATTGAACTAGGCGATGTCAAGCCAATTTGCAATTTCTTGGAAGTGTGACCGAAAGGCCCAAGCTGCTAGGAAAACAAGGGGCATAAATAGCTAAAGTTGCCTACCAAAACTTCCCTGGGAACCATCAGCAAATGCGAGGTGTATGGTAGAAAGTGTAGCTCGGACTTCAAGCGAGGCGTTAGAATAATTCTCTTGTGGATTGTTTCAATGTCCGCCACCTAGTCATCCGGTTAAGATTACCAGCGATGGGCCTGAGGCTATTATGCTTCCTTGCATATGTCACCTTAAGTTTAGAGCGACTGGGATTTGAGTTCAATGCCTTTCACCTAAGCTTAGCTTGGATGGTCGTAGCTTAAGTTTAGGAAATAAACGAAGGCGATCCAGAGTAATCTTGACCACTACAGAAGTGGACTTTAACACAAACTTAAATATGACGGAAACAGGTATAACGGTCTTAACCGTGTGTCAGTCGTAAACCCATGAACTGTAGTTCGGTGACGAGCCGAGGCGAATCACACAAGTTCCTTTAAATTCATTTCACAACAAGGAAGTACGAAGAAGCAATTTAGTCGGACGAGTTAGTGAGAGCCAGGATTTTAGAACTGAACATGTCTCTGAGGTGCTTCCAGAGGTGATCATCCTCATCATCATCATTACACGTTAGCTGGAGGTGGAAAACAACTCAGCTACTGCGCTGCAATACAAAAGATAAGAAAAGGAAAACAGTGGCACGTCCGCTGAGTCCCCAGTAACGGATGGACATCGTTCCGGAGAGCTAACAGCTGGCTGCCGTAAAAGAGAGTCACACTACGCCTAACAAGTGAGATCGTGATTGGATGAGGATGCTAAACAGGAGGGGGATGGACAAAGGAACTCACAACACAAACGCCATTGAGGCCGGCTCCAAGCCATATCAGCAAGTGTGTCCAACCAAACGTGTTCACCATCCTTAGAACCCCAGCCAGGCTGTCGGGATGCACCAACCGACGCCAACTTCGAAGTGAGGGTTTTCATTTCTCTCGACCAAGTCATCACTTGGCCTCCACTCCTCCTCTTCCAACCGCACCCACAACGCGCAAACAATGCACGTCGCGTGAGTCTGTGTGCTGGCATGCGCAACACGTGGCTCAGCCATCGGAGCCTGGCGCGTGATATAATGGTGCTGAGCGGTTCACTCGCTCTTTCTGCACCAAATACGCGGCGTCGAACACACTCATTGCTCAAGCGGTGTTCCCACCAGACATGAGCTAAGCTGCGAAGGCAGCGATGATCGAATGCGACGAGCCTCTTCATGTCTGTCGACCTGATGGGCCAGGTTTCACAGCCATATAGGAGAGGTGAACGGACAGCTGCGTTATAAACCCTGCCCTTCAGGGCAAGAGTAATGTCGCGTCTGCGCCACAGGTGGCGGAGATTGGCTAAAGCACCTCGAGCTTTTGCTATACGGTTCGTAACCTCATCTTCAATCCCACGGCCGCTAATATAGCTGCCCAGGTACTTGAATTCCTGAACGACTTCTAGCAGATCACCACCAAGCCTTAGCGCAGGATTGGGTCCCTGCCAATCTTGGAGAAGTACTTTGCATTTCGATGGAGCAAAGCATAGCCCAAAACGATTGACAGCCAGTGCTAATCGGTCCAGTGCTGTTTGGCATGTTTGGGGACTGTCACAGATTAGGGCAATATCGTCCGTATACTCCAAGTCAAAAAGTCGCGTACCAGGAAGTAGCTCCACACATTCTAGGTCGTGTCCAGCGAAAGCTGTTTCCATGACTTCATCAATAGCGAAGTTGAAGAGGGAAGGTGACAGCGGGCATCCTTGTCTCACACCGCTGGTGATACTGAAGGGTGGCGACAGTTTGCCATTAACCCTCACCCTGCCCGAACTATGAGTGTACAGCGCTTTGATAATGTTTACATATTTACCAGGCACACCTTTCCTCAGCAGACAGTCCCAAAGGGCACCGATCGACTGATTTGAAGGCACCTTTTATGTCAAGAAACACGACAACGGTGGGTCGCCAATAAACATGGCAGTGCTCCAACACTTGACGCAATGTAAAAATGTGGTCGATGCAGCCCCGACCTCGGCGAAATCCGGCTTGCTCTTCACGAATCTGGCTTTCAAGAGTGCCAGTCAGTCTGTGGAGAATGACAGAGGCAGGAAATTTGGAGGCGATGGAGATCAGACTGATCCCTCTATGATTACCGCATTCCAGACGGGAGTTTCCCTTGATAATTGGGACAATGACGGAGCGGTTCCAGTCTGTCGGGACTGTCTCCTGTTCCCAAAGTTTTACTAGGCTGGCTTGCCGAACAACCTCCTCGTGGTGCCAGCTGGGTGGTTCGGGATTTTCCCGTTCCAGCAAATGGTTCGGCGGCAGTGTTCCAGGACGTGGTGGGTGTTCGCCTGGCAAGCGTTCTCCCTATAAAAAGCCACATATGTCCGTTTAACAACACTGTGACGTGGCGGACGTGACTCGCCACTAAATAAAGTCACTGCCCCTTGCTTCAACCTGGCGAAGCATTGTATTCCAGCAGCCTTATGCTGTACTTCTGGGGAGCATTGGGCCCCTGTTTGACAAAGGAACAAACGAAAGGCGTATGAACTGAGCAATCAGTCACCGGCTCCCAATGGGCGCGATTCCCTGAATTCGCTCCGCTGCCTTGCGGGCAGGCTATTCAGCCAAAGGCTCGGGGTGGTGTCCCCTAAGTCAACACCCTACTTCGGCTTGGGCAACCGGGTAGTATCTCGCCCTCTGAGGAAACCATGGACATTGTTGTGTTGTGTTTTATTGTACTGTTTCTGTACTTTCGTTTGAATCCCATGGTTTCTGATGGCATTATGTCTGTTAGCAGACTTTTGCAAATATATATATATATATATATATATATATATATATATATATATAAAGTTTTACTAGCAACTCGTGTATATCATCTACTAGAGCAGGTCCCCCGAATTTGAAGAGGGCTGCGGGAATTCTATCTGCCCCCTGCGGCCTTATGCAATTTCAACAGCCTGATCTCACGTTCGACTTCTGCGCGTGAGGGCGGATCCAAGGAGACGGCCCAAGGAGAAGGGCGCTCAATGCCCGAAGAAAGCGATAACCCAGGTTGGTTAAATTGCCTTGCAAAGTGTTCAGCCCAACGTTCCAAACGTTTTGACAGGCTGTGGATCGGCTGTCCACTCTGGTCGCGTATGGTCTCGCTAACATCAGGTCTCCTGCTGCCTGTTTCCCGTATCAGACGGAATAACTTACGATGATTACCAACGGCAGCGGCTGTTTCCATTTCCGATGCACGAGGAGACCACCAGGTTTCGCGGTCCTTCTTTAGGCCAGCACGTAGTTTTGTCCTGAGATTTTTGCGAGCCTCATTGTACTCGCTTCCAGCCGGAATACGTCGGCGAGCATCCATACGTTCCAGAGACTGTGTAGAGACCCAATGTCCGGTTTGGCAATTTGCTCTGCCACATGAAGACATGCCTGCTAACAGCAACGCTTGACGAATATGCGACCCGTGATCTTCAACGGTGTTTAGTGGGAGCTTACTCACCCCAGATGTCAGCGCACTTTGGTACACATTCAGAACATCTGGCTTCGCCAGCTAGCTGGTGTCAATCCGTTCACATCGACGTTGCGGACGTCCACCGAAACGCACCAGGAAGTCGGCACAGACGAGTGCGTGGTCACAGTCCACGCTCGTGCTCCAAATCGAGCGACAGTTTTGGACACAGCCTCTCCAGCGGTAACTGATCGCGATATGATCGATTTGCATCCATGGCTGGCGGTCGCCAAGTCACGCTTCTGCGGGTGCTGTGTCGAAAGTTAGTGCTCGTGAGAAAGAGGCGAGCAACTTCACACAGCTGTAGCAATCGCTCACCGTTATCATTACGGGAGCCTACACCATGTTGGCCGCCCAGATGAAGCTCATCAGAGGAGAATTTTCCGACTTGGGCGTTTAGATCGCCAGTCAACACCACAGTATCTGTGCTTCTTCTGTAACGAAGGAGCTCATGAATTTGCTGATAGAAATCATCTTTTACCGAATAAGTGCTACAGTTTGTAGGGGCGTAAGCCGCAATAACAAACAGGCAACGTTTGTCCCCGCGCGAGTTCGTTGCACGGAACGAACCAGCTAATCTAACGGCGCACATCCTACTGTTTACTGGAATCCAATCAATCAGGGCAGCTTCAGCCCGGGGACTCAAAATAATGCCGACGCCAGCTTGACCTGCATTTGAAGATGTATCATCGCCAGACAGGCGCAATGAGAATGTGCCGCCAGTGTCGTATGTGGGGGATCTCAGGGTAAGCACGGAACTCGAACCTTGCAGGCGGGTTTCTGATAAACAGCAAATATCGATCAATAGGGTCTTTAGGGTGCGGGCAAGTGCTGCCTGTTGGCCAATCTGCAGCAAAGTGCGCACGTTGAGGCATGCCAGTCTTAGCGAGACACGAGGACTCCAAAGGGAAACCGATGAAATGACGTTGTCCGCTTGGTTGAACATGGACTTGTCGACTGGATTGGAGCGAGGCGAAGACTTATCTAATCTCTTGGATATGAGTAAATTGCTGTTGAGTGGATCAGGATATAAAAGATTAGTACTTACCCAGCGCAGCGTCACAGTATCGCTAGTTTTGAAAGGGTACACACATTGGCTAGTGTTATTGATTCTGATTACTCTAGCCATTCTACCCGTTATTCCTTTTTAGGAGACGGCATGTATTCTTCAATAAATCGTTCGTATTTCTTAGCCACACAATGCATTCCCTGTTGGAACGCTGCATGAGCGATAGCTACTCATCACAAGGGTACAGACTTGAATGAACGGACTCAACGGCCGTTCCAGCATGAGAGGTATGGTTACAAAGCAGCCATATGTTCCGCGAAGAATTCGCGAACACACAATGAGCTACTGTCGTCCTTCCTTCCGCTATCGACGCATGAAATCCTGAAACTACAGCTTGCCAGAAGCCAGCTGGGAGTCACGTCGTAGTTATTGGTGGTAGACTATCAAGTCACAATGTAACACCAGCAGACGAAACCGATAGCTCAGGGCCGGTTCAAAAAGCCACCACCTTATCGGTGTTCTTTACTATGAAAAAATATGTGCAATGAGAACAGAAAATGCCAACGGGCTATCAGGCGGAGGTTGTTTTGGCTCCACTCGACAGCCAACTGTTTGCGACCGTGCGGTAATTGTTAGGTACTGGCATCTGCATTTTGAATGCATCCCGGACTGGGACTTCATACTCCTATTCTTCTTGACAGGCATGACAGCATTAGTACTATTTCTGTTGAGTAACAGTGAACCGTCAGAGTAAAGTACTGCTGAGCTGATATCGATGATACTGATCAGTAGACAGGTTCATGATTAACTCGTATATTGGAATGAACTAGAAGGAAAATTTTGCTAACCCAAATAGTTGAAAAATGTCCGTCGCCGTGGATTATTGTGCGGAGAATCTTCCAGTTCAAACGTCCTACACTTGGGACAATAACAAGCAATACCGATGTCATATTTCCATTTATCCCAGCTAATAGAGACAAACAAGGAGTGTGAGCCAGACATTGTGACTGGGAAATAAGTAAAGGATGCAAAGGTACTGAGTGCCTTTCACGGTTTTCTCGCGATTAACGGCAGAGGCGTATGCAAATTAAGGATGATTACATCAGCACCAACCGTCCTACATGAAGTGAAAGAAATAATCTTACTTGTATGCATCCTGTGGAGCACTTTGGCGAAGAATAACAGCTTCTATGAATTCGTACAATTCCTGTGAGAGATATTCGTACGCAAGAGAGGCGTTTTCGGCCAAGACGTCAGCTGCCAAATCGAAATACTCGTATTTGATGTACAGTAACAGGAGATTGGCAAAAGTTTCGGGTGGGAACGTTTCTTGTTGCAAAAGAAATTGCAACTTTTGGAAGCCAGCCGCTGGTTCATTTTCCATGTTCATCAGTGCTTGATTATGTAGTGTTATATGGTCCAACTCTTCTTCTGTCCTAGGTGGCATGTCAGTCAGTGCCTCACAAGCAGCGGTGTAATTTTTTAGATTATACTCAATGGCAGCCTGGAAAAAGGAACAACCAATGTAGGTAAGGATCTCAATGAACGTGGCATCAAACATTACTTCATAAATGTCACTCAACAATAGCCACTTACTTTCAGATTGAACGCCTCCACCAAGGCAGTCTCCTTCAGCGTAAGCGTGTTTCCTACACTACGGACCTCGAGTCCCTCGGTAGTCATACCGACCCCAAGCTCCGGATGATCCCGAATCCCTCTTTCGATTATGTCGGCAATGTGTTTTAAAGCAGGTGCGTACTGCTTCAGCTGGTAGTGACACAGTGCAATATTGTAAGCCAAAGTGGGTCGGAATCCAAGATTCTGAAAAGGAGAAGTGGTTGTACACATGGCGTGATGCGGTGATAGTCGGCCCGTAGCCTAAAGGTAACAAGCTTGTCTTCTAAATTGACGGCGCCGCTTCGAGCTTGTGTAGGGGCATGGCGACCTTCGCAGTATCCTTGGTCCACGTGCGACCGGCAGAGAAGCCCCGGTACTGCGAACTGCTGATGCCCCTTATTCAGTGATATGTTCCGGCAGTGTATATATATATATGTATATATATATATATATATGTATATATATATATATATATATATATATATATATATATATATATAGGATCCGGAATCTGAAGGCTTCACAATGGGCTATGAAAACGACCTTAAAGAAGAGCCCCACACCGATTTCGTAGGCAACGACACTACACCCGGTCTTCCTGTTATTTCTGAAGCTTTTCGCAGTGAAACAACTGATTTGCTTGCAATGCATATGTTGGCTAAATTTGTGAGCTTCAGAAGCTTCATATGGTAAGCACCCTGTTATTTATTTTGTGCAACTACACAGTGGGTGGTAGGGTGACTGTTCGCCAGATGAAGCTGGTGTGGTTGTGTGCGAGAGAATACTGTACTCCGTTAGCTAAAGCGCTGGAACGCGACTAATTTATTGAACACGTTTCGTAAGTTCACAAAGTATTTAACAAAGCCTATTCTAATAACACCCTCGTATAGAAGATGCCAAAAGATATCGGAGTCCTACTCTTCAACAGTGTGTAGCTAATGGTTTCATTTGAGGTAATGAGTCAAACTTCATTAATGCTGTGAGTAAGTAAATCCAACACGACAGTGTTACCGCGTTTGTGATCGGAGGGTGGGATTTAGTATTGTTAGTCATGTTTCAAGGGGGTCCCACCTGCGTTAAAATTATTACCAGGAGACCAAGTATACCTGGCTACCATTAAAGTGATTTACATGAAAGTAATTCTATTGCTTTCAACTTATCAGCTGAATACTGTAGGAAATGGGAGTCGCAACCCAGGAACAAGCATAGTAGACTGTATGACCCAGTGATCTTCAACGAACTCCACTGTAAGTTAAATCCACAAGGCCGGGTGTTCCACTAACAAAACGACTCCAGCAAACACGGTAAGCAACCATATTACCAAGACTCCAGACCACTCAGCTTTCCCAGAACTCCACTTCTAGCCCATTTGAAACACGTTCCCCCGAACCAACTTCCTCCCACCAAGCTTCGCTGAAACTCAGGGAACAAAACAATATCAGTGGAACCTGGGCCATAGATGAATCCAAGAGCGCTCAAAAATCAGCAGCTGCAGTTTCTGCTATCACACCCAAAACTAAGGGGAGAGACGATTGCACCCTAGTGCGTATCAAGTTGCTCGAGCTCCGAACCATGACCCCTACTTTTCTGAAACGCACTCAGAAACACTGGAATGCCCCATGCATAATTTGTACCAACATTCCAAAGTCAAACACAATGAAAGGAAAGCAGATGGACGACCTGAACCAATGGAACCCCATAAGCAACTTGCTCGGTGTTCCGACTAAGCCCACCAACGTGACGAGGATCATCCGCCGCCCGAATTCCAAGCACTATGATGAATCCAGGTTTCTTCGAGTTGTACTAAACTCTATCGATGGGGTGGAAGCTGTCTTGCTTTCGGCACCTCCTCTCCAGAACGGATGCTGTTTAGTCTGCGCCTTCCTAGACGTCGGAGTGGCTTGCCGAACAGCCTCCAAGTGGTGCCAGCTGGGTGCTCTGGGTTTATCCCGTTCCAACAAATAGTTCGGCGGCGGCATTCCAGGATGTGGTCGGTTTTCACTTGACAAGCGTCTTCCCTATAAAAACCACACATATCCGTTTAACAGCATTTCGATGTGGCGGATGTGACTCGCCACTAGACAAAGTCACTGCCCTTTACTTCATTCTGGTGGAGTATTGTATTCCAGCAACCTAATACTGAAACTCCGAGGTAGATTGGGCCACTGTTTGGCAACCGACCAAGCGAAAAGTGTATGAACTGAGCAATCAGTCACCGGCTCTCAATGGGTGCAATTCCCTGAGTTCGCTCCGCTGTCTTGCGAACAAGCTATTCAGCCAAAGACTCGGGGTAGTGTCCCCTAAGTCATCACCCTATCTCGGCTTGGGCAACCGGGTAGTATCGTGTCCCCTGACGAAATCATGGACTAGTTTGTGTTGTTTCGGTTTCCTTTTAACGACAACTGTACCTTCCTTTGATTCCCATGGTTTTGATGGTTCCATGTATATTGATAAACTGTGGAAGATATATATATATATATATATATATATATATATATATATATATATGCAAACGTCCCTTGTAGCGAGCGCAAGCTAGCCAAACAGAGGTTAGAAAAGTACCGAGTAGGTAACGAAGTTAGAACTGTTTCGTCCATGACGTCTCCCAGCTTCAAAAGCACGGTGAGTGCGAAGCAACGGCTCACAGTCAGGAGCAGAGGCGCAATATTCGTGAGACCCTGCACTTGAATGACGTTGTAGCTGCTTTTATCTCAAGACTGCTAAGATCAGCATTCTGCAATGGGTGCGGTCTAAGGATAATGAAGGTTGTGCTTCAAACTAAACAGGTATCAATCAGGCTACTGGAACGCTGGTAGTCACTTCGGAACAGTCACAAACTGAGCTCCAGTTCAAAGCGGCGTGCGAAACTATCGTGGATTTAAGGTGCCACCTCAGCAAGAAAATGATGGGGGACCCCATTCGAATTGCTCACTGGAAGTAGGTCTGAAAAAAGTAAAGATCTTCCTGCGAAATGCTGTAAGTCCACTTCACGCACAGTGCAAAATGGGTTGACAGAGGGGCTAACTACGATGTAGCCGAACACGACTCCAAGCGACTCACTGATAGTACTGCAAAAAAGACGGCTAGAGGGCGACCGTTGTAGGGTCAGCACAATCTCTTACCCGAACTACGTCATTTGGTTTGCCGCTGAGAGCCGAAAAGGTTTCCTGCATGTACCTAAATGCGCAAGGTCTCCTCAGCAAAACTGCTGAGTTTCGGTTGCGTCAGACAACAAACGCTTGGGATCCAATTTCCGTACCAGAGACTTGGATGCGCTCAGAGGTTACGGATACCGAGCTCGCGATTCAGGGAATATCACTCTTCCAAACAATCGTCCCAGCAGGCGAGGTGGCGTAATCATATACTATCGTAACAACTTGCAGTGCGAACAATTGGAGGATCCGCAGACGCTGGTTACCGATTCGCTATGGTGTCGTTTGCGTCTCAGATACAGTGACAACTGCTTTGTGGCAGCCGCTTATCCCCCCATATTGTCCACCTCAGAGATGGGTTCTGCCTTAATATATCATTAGTAAAATGCTTACTTCCAACACCTAATCATGTGCTTGTCTCAACCAATTTCAACGTGCACGACCTGGACGCCTTGGCAATCCCCAGCGAAACATCCAAGACCGAAATGCAAAATCTTATCGCAAGTACTCCAGTCTACAATCATATCATCTCACTTACCAGGCACAGAGCTGATAATAAACTATCGGTACTAGACCTCGTACTTACAAATGAGAAACTCATGATCGACGGGACATTGATAGACATCCCACTAGGGTTAAGCAATCATATCATCATACTTTACAACCATGTGTGTTACGCTGAATATCCAGAAGGATACACTGAACCAACACATATTATCACACGCTGCGACATCCTCACTGATCTGGTTACTGTGATCGAATGGGACGTCTTGAAAGATGACTTCCCTGACAGCGCTTGGATTTAGTTTGTGGGACGTTTCAGCACTTTGGTCGTAGCTGCCTCAGAAACTAAGCGGGTTCGCTCCACCAGTACATCGTCGTTCAACAGAAGCAGAACTCGAAAACGCATGTCACTAAGGAATGCAGCTTGGCACGCTTACAGAGCCCGTCCTGGTCCCGTAACCTGGAGCGACTACGTGACCCAGCGCAACCATTGTAATACGCTTGTCCGTGAGGACAAAGTGGCTCACCAACAACAATTGGCTTGCAAATTTGTTAAAAACGGAAGTTCCAAGGTAAGCATGTTAATAGTATTCGCAAAGCAAAGCAAGGTACTTCCCAACTCAACACGACAGTCGGAGTGGCAGACAGCGTTGAAGAAGTGGTCAATGTTCCACTGACGCAGTATGTGCCGACCTTCCAACGAGACGTCCGCCGGTGTCACATGTCCACATCCAGCACCTTGGTTTCAGCACTTACTAACATCGCGTTTACCGCCACATCTGTGTTGAAGAAATTGATTATATTGCACACTTACAGTTCTTCCGAAATCCATGGCACTCACTAGAGGGCGCTGAAGGTAGCAGTAATAAGGCTGGCATCGGTCCGCAGCCTAGAGGTAATGAGCTTGTCTTGTAATCTTGCGGCGCAGGTTCGAATCCGTGCAGCGGTGGGCGTCCTCACGGTATACCCAGCCCGCGGGAAAATGGTGGTGGTCGCAAGGTAGCGAAGTACCGTTACGGCGTACTGCTGACACAATATTATTATTATTATAATAATTATGATTATTATTAATGCTAGCCCAGCCATTATCGAATTTCTTCTAAACGTACTTGGATAAGCAAATTGTGCTTACCATCTGGAAACATGGCCTAATCACGTCAATTTTCAAAAGTGGCAGTCATTCGGAACCCGAAGGCTACTAGTGGCCCTCCTCCCGGTACTCTCAAAGATGATGGGGACGATAATCGCTGAGGTTATAGTTAGCCAACTAGAACGTTGCAACACCATAGCATCTGAGCAGCACGGTTTCCACCAACACTGTTCATGCACAACTAATCTACTGATTGCGTGCAGTATTTGGACGGAGGCGATCGACAAAGGTAGATGGATCGACATCATTTACCTCGACCTCACCAAAGCGTTCAACCGCCTAGACGACCCCATCTGCTTTCCAAGCTGGAAAGCTATGGAGTTAGGGATCTTGTCCTTCGGTGGATCAAGAATTTCTTGAGGAATCGGCAATTGCAGGAGCGCGCTGACCGATCAGAT